TTTTTTTTATTTTTTTACAATGTCCAATTTTGCAGACAAACAAAGTGTGTACAAAGTTAAGGAAAAAATTTTTGGAACACTGCTAGTTGATGGAGATGGTCTTCACAGGGGCATCTGCTACGAGTAAGAACCATTGGATCCCAAGAGAGAAAGTTGCTGAAGCTGTCGCTGTGTCATCTGATTCTGTGGACATTATCGGAGCTCGGCCATTTGTTAATCCAATACCTGCACGTGCAGACGACGTGGATTTAGATTCTTCAATGGAACCAGTTGATATTGGCATGAAAAGAAAACAGACTCCGTCAACAAGTTCTGCAAAGTCGAAGAAGGCAACAAGTGGTGCGTCAATTATAGTGGAAAACATGAATAATTTGACAAACGTGGTTCAGACCCAAAATCAGCAAATTATGGTTAGGCACTTCATAGGTAACGAATCATTGTACACAATTTCGGAGTGCATGCAACGATTCATGAACATTCAGTCCTTTTTCGGTATGCCGCTATTCTATTTTGCGTCAACGCTGATGGATAACGCAGATTATCGGGAGGTGATGATGTGCCAGCCCGATGACGACCACATTATAGGCTAGCTGACACAGAAACAGCTGCAATGCAGTGTTGCGGTGCCATTTGCGAACTTGTTCAGGGCTCTCCAGGTTTGATAGCGGTGTGATGATGAAGATGGCCTTCCCTTCTCTTGGTTGCAAAAAATTTTAATTACCGTGGATGTTGGGTTTGTAATAAACAATTGACACTTGTGTGTGTTATTTTTATTTATTATTATTATTATTTTTTTTTCGGGTGTGCTCAAGAAATTCAGATGTTTGTGTGTGTTTTTCATGATGGAACATGATGGTTGTGTTTGCTTTTTATTATGGAAATTAGACTTGCAACAGTGGGCTGCCGTGTCTTGCTTGTTTATTTATTTATTTATTTTGTTAGGTTTCTATACCGTTAGTTTGGTTGTGTTGGTAATGCAATTGATCTTTTATTGGTTTGTATATTACCAAGTTACAGTAGATTCAGTGTTTGTTTATTATGTGTTGATAGATTATTACATGCAATTGTACCCATCTGTTAGGCATGTTCGACACGGTTACGCAATATAAAATTTTGGAAGGTCAAACAATGTATTTCGAAACTATTATTACATTATCCCACTCCATCACGTGTAAACTGATTGAAACCGTTACAATGTTGTAGGTGTTGCTTTAATCGACGTAATGAACACCGGGGATGAAAGTAACAATAACGGTATAATGGAAATGCTTAACCAAATAGCCATACAGCTTCAACAACAAAAAAAATGGATATTCCTCCATTCATACCAGTATGTCCAAGAGTGGAAAAACACATGTGTAAGACGCTATGTCGCACTTCTATTCTGACCAGACATGCATGGATAACCGAACTATATGCGGGCCATGTGGGTCGATTTGAGGAAAATGTGTGCATGCCAAAAGAAGTTTTTGCGTCTTTCTGTCACACGTTAGTAACTGAATTCGGGTTACAAGTACTGCAACGTGAACATGGCTTAGCTGTTCAAGAAAACGTTGCAATATTTATCCACGTGTTGAGAGGTTTTCATAATCGCGTAATCCAAAAACGATTCCAACATTCGGGGGAGACTGTGTCTCGACACATGCATAATGTATTAGCGGTGATGAAGGAGTTAACTATTGCACATTGCAGGCCAACATATAGTCAGCATCATATACATCTATACGTACGGTCCAAACGAAAATACCTACCTTTCAAGATCCTGGCGAAGGTAACACATTGCATTTCAATTTTTTTGGTACATAATATTTAGGAAACATCTTTACAAAAAATTAAACAAAATTTGGTGGTTTGTTTGAAATTATGGTACTTCCAAATTTTCGGTACATAATATTTGAGGGGAAAAAAAAATACTAAATTTGGTTTGTAATTTGAATTTCTGGTATTTTTGTAGGCAAATATTATCTTGTCGATGGTGGCTATCCGAACCGGATAGATTACCTAGCACCATTCAAAGGCAGTCGTTACCACCAACAAGAATTCCGCGTTACTGAAAGGCATAGGACAACAAACACTCCCAGGAAATTATTTAACAAAGTGCACTCGTCATTACAGAGTGTGGTGGAATGCAATTTTGGCGCATGAAAAAATCAATGGGAGTTTATTCAAAATATACATTGGCATGATTTTGCAAATGTTTCAGTTGGTAGGTGCATCAATGGCGTTACATAATTATATACGTAGAAATACAAGTAATCCAAAAACTGTTAACCCCATCTTCAACGAGGAAGAGGCTATGGCAATAGTAAATGCCATACCGGAAGTTCTACATGACGAGGATGGTTTAATGGTTGGGGATGAGGACCCGCATATGGCATTGATGCAAGTTCGCATACAGGACAAGTTAATATACATGTGTAATAACGGAATGTTAGGAAACATAAAATATTCAACTAAAATATTTGTATGCTTGTAACATCATTAAGCCACGATCGGGATGTATGTGATTATATTATCTTGTATAATATGTATGTGTGTACACAGAAAATTGAAATTTGAATGGTTTGCGTGCCTTATTTTGTAAAATTATTGGGTTGGAAAAGGACAAATTTTGTTACGTACTTGTAATAATTAAGTAGGATAGTACGATGGCAAACCGCGATATTATGATTTGACGACTGTGACAGAAAAATTTAAAACATTAAAAAATTAAAATAGGCACGTAATATGTGGTCGTCAACTAAATTTTGGGTAAAAGCTAGGAGTATGATTTATACCATTTTTTGTTTAACAAATTGGGTAAATGAGAGAAAAAGTAATTTTCCAAATTATTTTTACAAAAAATTTTAACAATTTTTTTTTTTAAATGTTCCAACAAACAATTTCAATCATTGACATAAATATTTTGAGATGTTTACCTGTTTCTTATTTTTTTTTTTAAAAAGGCCGAAATTATCGTTTTCCCCGTAATAAAAAAAACATAAAAAAGCATGCTAAACAAAAAATAAAAATAAAAATAACAATAAAAAAAAACACCAAATTAATCAATTGACGTGTTAACCTCAACCCACCCGCCCAGCACTAGCCAACAGGTTGGGAGAACACCTTCACCCCAAGGGCAATTGGGTAATTTTACATGTAGACACCTTACCAAAAAGCCAAATAGCCTATTCCAAATCAATCTTTTTAGCCCTAGGCTAATTGAATTTAGATAGGATTAAAAAAATGCTATAACAAATGATAGCCTTAAAAAAAAGTAGAAATGATCTAATACAAACTATTTTCAACAACTAAAAGAAAGAACATCAAATTATTACCTTAGAGAAATATAGTAATGAAAATTAATTTTGTGATATTTAGGTGTTGCCTCCTCCCGTGCAGCCTTCATCATCCCATTATTAATATTCTTCTCATTCAAAACCAATAAAAAAAATTATTTTTATCACTTGATATATAATAACGAATAATAAAAATTATAAGGAAAATGTTAAGAATTTAAAAGGAGATAAGAAGTTATAGATATGGACATTTCAGCAGATAAAATATTCAAAGTAAAAAAGGAAAATATGTGATAGAAGTAAAAATATGTGATGGAAGTAAAAAAAAAAAGAGTATATCAAAATAAAGATTTAGATATATATATATATATATATATGGTTTTTTTATAGATAAGATTAATAAATTACATTTTTATCTAAATTTTATTTATTTTGATTTTTTAAATCAATTATTTAATCCTTATCTTTATTTGTAGACCATGAAATTAATTTTTATAAATCTTTATATGTTTATCTATGAGGGAGAAATTTTAAAATTTAAATATTTATTTATAAGTCATGAAATTAATTTTTTTAATTAATTATTTATTTTTTATTTTTATTTGTATACTACGAAATTAATTTTCTTTAATTATTTTTCAGTTTTTATATGTTTATATATAGGAAGAACTTTGAGATTCAAATATTTATCCATGAGACATGAAATTAATTTTTATTTTAATTAATCAAACAATTAGAAAATGAAAAAAATAAATAAAAAATGACAATCAAAGAGATTGTCACCTAAGAAAGAGAGTTTTAAAATTATAAAAATTTAATAATAGACTTCTAGAGCTTTTTTGAGAGAAGCACATTTACTTACATACTATATAGATAGTTTAGATAGATACAAAAAATTACGCAAATAATGTAACAGTAATATTTTTAAAAATATAAGTGACAATGAATAATATAAGTCACAATGAGTCTTTTGATTTAAAGTAATAAAATTCATTTTGTATGGATTTCGTTATTTTTATTTATACAAAATCCAAACATTTTGAAACATAATTAGAGATACATTTTTTTTTAAGGCACAACCCAAACTTTTTTTTTCCTTATTTTTTTCTTCAAAAAATAAAAAATAAAAAACATAAAAACTTTTAGCTTTGTTTGGTTTAGAATTACTGGGAAAAAAAGTTTAACTTTTTAATTTATAGTAAAACTGTGAAAAGGCAAATAAACTAAAAAACATTTAAAAATTTACGGAGCACCCTAACTTTTTCAAAATGGGTATGGATTCTGTCCAGTCCGATCCTGTTGGGCCCGTGGGAGCCTACCACGGCTCCCGTTTTGATAATCTGAATCATTGAATGTGTAAAACTCGTCGAGTACTATATGCCTGTAAAAAATCACATTGATCAGATATCGATAGCTATATGATCAAATCAATTTCGTATTAAAAAAATTAAACGGTGAACAAATTAACGTTTGACAAAAAACTATTTTGATCACATAGCTATCGATATTTGATCAATGTGATTTTTTACAGACATGTATTACTCGACGATTTCTACACATTAAACGGTTCAAATTATCAAAATGGAACCCGTGATAAACCCCACGAGCCCAACAACACGGTCCAGTCCGATCCCGGACTGGACAAAAGCCATACCCTTTCAAAATACACAATTACTCAAAACATATGATTACAAATTTTAAGCCAAAAGTTAAAACATCGGATAACCATGCAATACAAATATTTAACACTTTCCAAATTCAACATCCAACATACATTTCTCTCCACAACCCAAAAGCTGGAAGTTACATTTGACAATTTTAAATACTAGTTTACCAGCCCCTACTTACAAAAAAGTAAAACAGTACATGTAAGTTGAACCCTAATCCTATAAATTTCTTATGAACTGTGCTTGGATCTTAAATAATAGAGGATCTGTGAAGAAAACAACTGAAATAAAAAAAGAAAAAAAAGTAAAAACTGTGTATGCTTTTTTTTTATTATTATTATTTTTTATTCTGTGTTTTTATTATTTTCCCCTCAGAAATCCAATATCCAGACACAATCTCGATTTTTCAAGCAAAGGACAACTCACTGGTTATCATCATCCGATGATCGCACGTTGAGAGGACTTGAAGGCGAAGCAGATTTATTATCTGTTGCTTCAGCTTTGTTGTTTTCAATCTCAGCATTGTCAATCTTTGACACACCATCATCGCCACCATCAATTTTCATTCGCTTACATGCCCTCTCGGGATCTTCTTGTTCATGTTCTGTCAGAGTCCCAGCAGCATTGTTTTCCTTCTTCTTGAGCTCCTCGTTTTGAGGATTTGGAACATCATTTTCTTCAATCCCAGACAAAGCATTCAATCTCTTCTCCATCGAATCAGATGCCTCTGCACCCGACCCCTCAACGATATCCTTCTTTTTTGTCTTCTGTTGAAGCCCCTCTATTACCTCCATCAGTTCCCTGTTAACCTGTGTAGCGGGAAAATGTTTGAAAACAGTTCTACCCCAAGGCTGTGTTTGGATCATAAATTTGGGTGATGATTTGGAAAGGAAAACGAAAATGTGAATGAAATATTTTTTCTCCACTTCTCTCACCTTTTCCTTTCACTTGCCAAATCTGTAACCAAAAGCCTAAATAGATTGAGAATTCAACATTTCTTCTCTAATCCGCCATCTTTTCACAACAATCAATGTAACAATGCGCAAAGAATTCTAATTTTGCAGAAATGAAGTAAATATAGGCTACTACCGAACCTGAGGACTTTTGAGGAACTCAGCTATGTCATTTTTGCAAGAAGGGCACTTCATGAGGTTCTTTCGGGAGCGGAGTGTGCGTCCATTGCAGCAAGTTCTCTCTCTCTCGAAAGTCTGCCCAGCAAAGACACCTTCCAGGCAGAGTTTGCAGAAGTTATGACCACAGGGTGTTGTGAGAGGCAGAGTCATCACTTTTTTACATAGACAGCAACGGAGTTCTGCACAAGGGACCTTAATAATAAGCATACCCTATATTTAACAGAGTATTTCTATACAAACAAATTTTTCTTACAAAATTTACTAACTGACGTAGCAGTTGAGCTGTTCCTATCATTTAGAATAATTTTAGTGGATCTATTTCAAATCCTAGTTCTCTTTGTAGAGCATTTTCCTAAAAAAAAATAACATTCCTAAATTTACCATTTATTACTAACGATATCCACTATGGATATTGACAACATGGCTTGCAACATGCTGATTAACTGACCAGTAAAGAGTTCAAAGTCCATGGGAAGATGTCACAGATAATGCAATGAGAAAAGGGGGGATAGAGGAAAGACCTTTCAGAACTTTCTCTTTTAGATAAGTATTTTTAGATTTCCTTGTAATAGTTCTCCTCTCCTGCTGTCCATCCTTATGCTTGCTCTTAGTTACTTCTTTTTGCTTAGGGGGTGGTGGTTTTTTCCACTTCCAGCATTCTTCTTCCTCCTGAGATTCAAAAATAGAATAACGAAGACCGTACAAAATATTTATTTGGCTTTCGAGTGATAATCAAAGAAGATTTTTCAAGAGAAACGTGCATAAGAATTACGATAGAGAAGTCCACGATGTACTAATATTTAAGGTCCACATAACATCAATAAATGATGTAAACATATATGTATTATTGATTGATTGTTTTGTATGATTGATTGTATAAATTACAGATGGTGTAAATTACAGATGGTGAGGTACTCATTATATAGGAGAGGATTGGGGAGTAGGTGAGTGTGTGTGGTAGGTGAGTTGAGTGGAGGTGGTAGGTGATGATATATTTTAACAAATGAAATCATTTTCTGACTTTTAAAGCGTATAAACTAGACTCACTTCAAGATTCACTAGTTTCCAAGTAGCATAAGATGATTGGCAGACATAATCTTAGACCAGCAAAATATTTTAAAAAAATGGCATCCACTCACATCATAATCCCATGATGGACTCTCCAACCTCCCACTAATATCAGTCGCCCCTTCAAGTTCGGAAATGAATGGCAAGGCTCTAACCTTATCCCCATGCTCATCGCTGAAGTTAGAATTAGTGAATGTTATTAGAGAAATAGTTCTAATACTGAAGAAAAACACAAGCATAACAAAATACGGACCTTGTCCATGGTGCGGGAGCGTTGTCACATCTCACAAATAAGTATCTGCAGACTTTGAAACCCTAGTAGAGCATAAGACCAAACAACAGTAAACCTTCTGAAGAAAACAAACAACTAATAGCCATTAGGACTGCAAAAGATTACCTGCATCCCAACTTTTCGCCAGCATTTCTCTATCCTGTAGATCCCATCATATCGCAACCCCTTCTCCGGCGCGTAGGCAGAACGCTTCTCTTTGTGAGATCTGATAAGAATAAAGGTATAATTAACTAAACTTTCCAGCATTGCAGTTCAGATGAGAGAAAAGCGTAGTATCCATACTAACTGAATATATATTACTTACTTTTAACCTAGACACGAGACCACATTTATTAATTGATAAAGTTTCCACATTACACAAAACTAGAACAAGATAGTGACAGACTGACTCAATACCAAGTTACCAACCAATCAAACTGACTAAACTTTGTGACCCAATCAATTGGGGTTGGCTTGGCTCACTGGGCGACCAGACTGGTAATGCTGAAATTCTCCATGGGATCGGTCTAATACAGGTGATTTTCTGTTCAACCCAAGGTGATCGGTTTGAGTTACGGATATATGGTAAACCAGACCGACCCGCGAACACCCTTAATAAATACAAGTATTCGAAAGAGAACAATTCTCGTGATTTGGATTACCTCATCAGTTCCAATTGTCATATCCACAACCCTACCTTGTCATACCATATTCAGCCTATGTCGCTTAGCATTTTTTCATCTTGATTCCAGTTCCTTGTAGCATAATTGTCAACTTTCCAGATAAGGTTTAAAGAAATATATTGAGCCAAAGGAAGTAAGAACCCCCTCCCATTACTCAAATTTAAGTAGCACTCAGGAGAAATCAGGTTACCTTGATTCAATAACCAGCATCTTAGACTGTTTTCCGTGATGTTAAAAGTCAATAATAATGTCATATTTTTTTTAATCCTTGCAATCATGAGAAAATATAATCTATCAAATTATTGTAAGTTAAACCTACTGCAGCAAAAGTTAGGTTCCAACAATTATAATCATAGCCTTAACTGCACGTCCGTAGTCCGCAGTGTAGTATATGCTTGACCTAATTATGATTCCCATGAGATCAATAAATTATTTAACCAATGACCTTAATAAAAATATGTTTGGTCTCTAAAACTTGTCATGTCATTCATTGCATGACAACTTACACAATTTTTATAAACAAAAAAAATAAATAAATAAATAAAAATAAGAAAAGAAAATTGTAACCAAAACATAATTAAGTATAAGCTCGGTGATTTCACAGCGAAGTCAAAATTCCACAACGCAGTTGCTAACAAAAGAATTTCTTCAATATGTAGAATTATTAACAGTCTTGAATAGGAAAGACTATGATGACAACCCTAATAGTAAGATAAAAATAATCATCAATATTTAGCATTAAATTTGGTTGGTGATGCCGTGTTGGTAGGCTCCATTAAACACTAGATATAATCATCAGTGGGTTTGATTTATAGTATCATCTTATAAACCCGCATTCCTTATCCTTGATCTTTAAGCATTATATTTATATCTAGCAGTAAGAAATGCTTCAAATATGCAAGTAAAGTTGTATTCCCAAGAAAAACAAATTAAACCATCATGAATAAAAAACAATCTGCTGATTCTTCATTGTTAGCACATATGAAAAATCAAATTTATAAGGAAGTACTACTTACCTAATAACTCGAACTGGATAGCCTTTGTCACAGCTAAGTCGTAATGATAGATTACCCTTCTTGAAGCGCTGACCAAATGATTGTTCCTTGTTAGTCCTTTTGTTCCCACTGAGATCCCTTCCACCGCTGCCATACAAAGTCAACAAAAACAGATTAATACAAGCATAGGTATTTACATATAAAATCTAAAATGTTTCCCAAATGGCAAAAGAAAAGCAACAATTGAATATAACAAAATAATTTCATCAAGGTAGTTGATAAAAGATGTTCAAACTAGGGCAAAAAAAAAACTTATTGCAGCAGTCAGATGAAAAGTGTTGGATTTACCAGGAAGGAGGGTAGAGCATAGGAAATAGGTATGCTTAAACTTCCAAGCTACAGTATGCATGCACCACATTTGATCCATTTAGAGGCACACGGAATGTTTAGAAAAGTTAACCAAAGGTGGATCACACCTCAGCACAGTGATGGATTGAGACGTTACACTTTGAAAACAGGATTATAAGGTTAACATAAAGTAGAGCCCTCATTACGAATCTCCATCCCTTATCACCCCAATCCCTTCCTCTTGAGTTTACACGATAATGACATGATGTATATTACAAATGAAATCAATGAATATACTAACCAACCAGCACAAATCAGCAAACAAGAAACCCATTTGCTATCTTATGAGGAATGCAATCAAAATAAAATCTAAGTACAAGATTATGAGCTAGGCTACCAAGTGATAACAGTTAAAATTCACTAATTCAGTATACAAACTCATATAAACAAACCTTCCTGTGTAGAGGAACCACTCTCCATGATCCTCATCATCCTCATAACCTCCCGAAAGTACCACGGACTGTGCACCACGCTCTTCTTGTCCACAAATCCCTGCAACATGAGGATTGTGAGCACCCCATTGCCTGCACTCGAACCTATCCTCCCACAAATCTCCAACCAACACCCCCCGGTTCCTCTCTGGATCATTCTCAGCAAGGATTGGTCCAAAATGGCCTGGTGGAACAGTTACAAATATCTTCCCACTCGAAGCATTTGCCTTCCCACCCCTCTTCGCTCTCTCTGTAGTATATGCCTTATCAGGTCGGTCTTGGTTATACACAAAATGCTCTACTTTATCAGATGCACTGGACTCATTTAATTTTGATAATTTGGCAGTTCGGATGATAGCTACAAGTACAGAGTTGATGCGAGGCTGATTCGCCATTTTAGAGGGTATAATGCGTCGGCACTTTGCACAAGTACGCTTTCCTTGACCAATCCACCTCTGGAAGCATTTTAAGCAGAAATTGTGACCACATGGTGCCTGGAACAACAAAAGTACAATTTTGTCAACCAAATGTGGGACAATCCAGTCAAAGCAAAAAATAAGTTGTGATACAACTACCAAGTCCATGCACCATTAAAACAAAGTAAAACAACATCAAAGAACACTATCTATTCAGTTTCAATTACCACAAAAATAAAAAAATAATAATAATAATTAATTGTTTACAGTCCATATCGAGACGTGCAATTCAAATTATGGAAATTTTGGAATATAATAGCATTGACACATCTAAGCATAAAAAGGGCACACCTAATTGGTGATGTGCACTCTCAAATTGTGGACCAACAAGTCTTCACATTTAAACATCATACAGTTAATTCATCATCGACTTTTTACGTATTATTTGAAAGAGAAATCCAATTTGTCCAACTTCAGTGGTGATTCTAGGCAAGTCTTTCGTCAATAGTCCTTGCGCAGCCCACCAAATTAGGTAAAGGCATGCAGTTATACAATTCTATCAACAAAAATGCCCAAAGAAAACATCAAAAGTGGCCCACAAGGGTGTTGATGTGCAACCTCTGGAAACAAGCATGGCTCAGTCATTCTGTCACGAAGGAAAATGAGCCTGGGGCAGAAGTTCATTTATTGGGAAAGATCACAACATACAGAAATGGGAGAGAAATGGCCAACTCAGAGTGAAACAACCATGCAGATTAAAAAAAATAATAATAATAATTACTGGGTTAGGAAAGACAAATTCAGCGAATGAAACTAAAAACCGAACACTAGCAAAAGAAACAAGCCATTTTGACTACTTCCAGAGATGTAATAAATTGGTGAGAAACAACCACCTGAAATGAAAGTGACCTACAGCAATTTACCTGTGGAAGACCCATAAGAGGAAAAAAAAAAAAAAGGCAATAGAAAATCATAGAAATTGAATTCTACAAGATACAATTTATTTGACAAACACATGAACCCTAGTTAACTTTCCATAAATCCATGAAAATAGTTGTTTTCAAAAAAAGGGTAAAGTGAGAAACGGTATATAACAAAAACGAAATTTGTTGAAGCCACATTGCCGGTTTTGATGATCCAATCCAATCGTTTTATAGTTTTATGTGTATAAATCATCCATAAAAAAAATTTGAAAAAAAAAAAAAAAGCTGACAATTTATTCTTAAAATCATACTTGCTGTTCATTTTTTTTGAGAAATAAATATGATTAAATATGTGATTTCGATTATTGGATCGATCTAGTTTTTTTTTATCACGATCTATACACAAAAAAATGAAAAAATGATCGGATTAGATCATCAAAACCGGGAATCTGACGCCAACAAATCCCGGGACTGGAGGGTCCAGAACCTGTTACAGGAAATCTAACATAATAAAATTCGGGAAAGTTGTTATATACATAGAGATAGAGGTCACAGAGCCACTTGATGCCGATCAATTGAACCCAAATGCTCACAGATAAACTGTCTTCTATGAGTCAAATGTATCTACAATCGAACAAGTATACAAACAGTTAACCGCAGCAACAAATTCTCAGAAATTTAAAGAGAGACTGACTCGTGATCAAATAAAAAACAATGAAAAACAACACAAACAAATTCACAAATATATATATATACATATATATACACACACAAAAACTAAAAATGAAAAGAGAAAAAAGAAAAAGAAAAAAAAGAGTGATACCGTAACAGGCCTCTCTGGCAATTGCATACAGAACGAGCAATTGACGCCTCTTCCAAGAACATCAAGCACTTCATTGCCATGCTCAGCTTTTTCCTTCCCTTTCCGCTTCGAATCGGCCGATTCGACTAGTCCGCCGACCAGTTCCTGACGCTTCCTCGCCTTCTGTGTCTCCGTGAGAGTTGTATCGGCCTCGATCGCTCGGATCGCCGACACGAGTTCACATTTTCCGGCGGGAGGCGCCGGAGCGTCGAACGGCGTCGTACAGTCCGGACACTCCCACTGGACCGTCGACGCTAGGGTTTCGGGGCGCACGATAAGGCAGCTCCCGTGCCATGGCGTATGGCATGTCTTGCAGGTTAGCTTCTCCTCGTCCGGCGGCCTGTTCTTGCACACCATGCAAATGCCTTCTCCGTCACATGGAAGCTGGCTAACGTGCGCCATTGACACCTATCACGCAAACCGAGACAAACAATAAAAATATATATATATATATATTCAGAGAGAAAAGCAATGGAGATGGGTATGTATGTATAATGTAGAGTGCGAGAGAGAAGCTATATATACAGGGGGAGAGAGAGAGAGAGAGAGAGCCGGGTGTATATACATTGATATATAGATATAGAGAGAGAGAGAGAGAGACGGCGGGTTTTGAAAATGGTTTTGAGGGGGGTTTGAAAGAGAGGTATGATCAGGTGGAGTTGAAATGCAGATAAGTTGAGTGGGGACCAGTGAAATGATTGGCTATTGGGTAAACAAAAGTTGAGACGACGTTGACTTTGGTTGACTGATTTTCAATTCTGACCAATCGTCATAGTTACTGACTCGTTTCCACAAACGTGGAATCATTACCTCTTTTATTTACTATTTTATGAAATTAATAAAGTTACCGGAAATGGAAAATGAATATTGATTTTCTTGATATGACCAAACTGCCCTCGATCCGATTCTATCACTCTGCCGTTGTCATATTATTCTTCAAAATCTCAAAAAAAATTTATTTTTTTTAGAGTTGATTTTGAACTTTTAAATATTTGCTTTGCATTTTAAAATTATATTGAGAGACTTGTATTCAGTTGAGAAAAGTGTCTAAAACTAAATAAATAAGTAGTATAAATTGATTTGATTCGATTCATTTTTTTGATTATTAAAATTATTCCTGTATTATTTTATTTTACGCAATTTCTAGAAGAGTTTAAAACTTTTATGAACTTGTTAAAACAAATTTCAAATTAATGTAAGATGGTAAGAGATATTATTTTTATGTTATAAAAATATAATCATCTAAAACACTTTAAACACATTTTATTATATTTTCGTTGTATCTATAGTTATTTAAGTTAGTTTACATGAATTGATACACTATCAATTTTTGCATAATACTCATTAAGTTTATTCTTATTCCACTTGAACAGAAAATAAATTACATGCATAAAAATGAGTATTTAAGAATGTATTAGATAGTAGAAGACATTGAGCACAATTTCAAATACTTTTAAAATATTTAATAATATATAAAGAATTATAATTTAGGGCACTTGTATGGAAAAATAAGTCATATTATCAGTAGTGGTAGCTCCAAAAGCATAAGAATAAAGCTGTACGTACCAACTAGTATATCAATTAGTGTACTAATAGATGATGTGATATAGTTTTATTTACTTTGAGCCTTTGTAGTTTGTATAATAAGTGGAATCCGTAATTTTGAAATTGCATTGCTATAGCATGTATAGTACACTAATTAATATAGTAATAGTGATACAAATATTAATGTCTAATAGTGCATATGTTGCTCTTTTGTGTAAATGTTTTATTTTTATTTTTTTTGTATCACATTCTTGATTATTTTTGAACGAGTTTACAATTGTACTTTCTTTTTTTAGTCCAAGAAACATAATGTCATCTTCATTTACATAGGTATCGAGCAATTTTCCTTAGCGGGAAATATGTTGCATGTGTATTCATGTAGTTATACTATACATACATCTACATTGATTTTTAGTGACTAGATTAAAATCTTAATTTGTGCTTTGACAATTATGTCCAACTTTGAACAGTTTATAATCTAACTATAAAGGATAATCTCTCACAAACTTTATTACTTTTCTCTTTGGTCATGTTGTTGTTCAATTAGGTTTGAACTTCTATAGCTCGGACGCCATGACTAGGTGCTTGACCCAGGCATGTTTAGTCAAAATAAATAATAGTAACACCTTCAAAAATGCATCCAATTACTTCAAGGATCAAATCTCTTGGGTAACAGAATAATGCGAATCATGAGATCTTCATCCACAAATGCCGCATCAATAAATCCATATAAGGAGATCCATACCTACGATGTAAGGTTATAACAATATGCGATTGCATTTGATTTAGAAGAGACGTCTAACTAAAACATTTGATGATTGACCAACGCTGCACTAGTGCTACTCGGAGAGAGTCTTTTGCATGTGTGTTCGACATTGTAATTATGCAATAGTAGAATACATGAGTGCAATCCCCAACAATTTAACAAAATTTTGTTATAATATGTAAATATTGATTAGCTACTAAGAATATCATTTGAAAAGGGAAAAATAGTCATATTATAAACAAGATTAGCTCCAATAATGTGATGATGCAAATATTATTGTCTCGTAATATATATATAAATATTGTTTTTTATGCAACGGTTTTATTGTTTGTATTACATTTTTAGTTTATTTTTACACAAGTTTCTAATTGTCATCATCATTTAGTAAAATTATGCAAAAACATAAATTACAACTTGATACACAAACCTTTACTATATGTGAAACATACTACTTCTGGTAGTTTTATTCTCTACATATATTTACGTTGCCTTTCAGTGACTATAATAAATATTGATTTATGTTTTTAACAATGATATCCAACCTTTTAAAAGTTCGTAATCTAACCAGAAAAAGATAAGCTCTCATAAGCTTTATAGCCTAATGGGACGTATCTTTTTATGTCATGTAGTTTTGCTTAATTTAAACTTGTATGACTTGGACAAAAACAACTTATCGAACTTGAGCATGGATCGTCAAAATAGATAATTGTGAATCCTCCGAAAATCATGCCTCTAGTTACCCCCATTATAAATTCTCCTAAGTAACAGAATAACGGGAATCTCGAAATCTTCTTCCACAAATGCCGCATCCATAACTCTTTTAAAAGACAAGTTCGTGCAATAAGGCACTTAAGATATGCTAAATCCAATCTGTAGAAAGATTGCAATCGAATGATTTTTGCCGACATCACACTTGTGTTACCCTAAGAATGTTTGTCTTTTGTAAGTGATTGAACCGAACCATATAAATCCTTGATGCATCATTACCTAATAAGTAGTGCAATCAAAAGAATATTGTCAAATAATAAGTATAACATACTATAATACAAAATTAATCATGGTGAAAATGTCTAAATTTATTTACTAGAACATGTTAGTAATTATAAATATGCAAAACGAACATATTCTTTTTTAAGTGTTAACATACCCCACAACAAGTGACATATTATAAGATATGTGAAGAACACCAAGAAAAATTATGAGTTTTATTTTATAGAATAGTGAAGAATAGGTAGATCATTTAGTAAATATTAATCAAATGATCATAAAAAACAAATGTACCGACCATTTCTTCTAAGGATATTCATCTTTATGATTTAATATAAATGGAAAAAGATTTAAGAATCTTGTAAATTAAAAAAATTACTAACCATAAAGCACATTCGATGTGCTTACTTTGTCTTTAGGTTTAACTTGTGGTCAATAAAAGATTATTATTCATGCATATTAGACTTTAACTTTATAATCATTTGCTTAAATGATATTGATACTAGACAATGGTGATTTTCACACATATATGATAAAGTGACCAGAACTTTTACTTCCAAGCTTCTAACAAGCGAAATGCACTTGCAATACCTGAAGAGGAAGTCACCCGAAACCTCTCTGCTGCCTAAGTCAGATCAAGGATCACGAAAGCAAATAGAAAGGAAAAATGTTTAGGGCTTATATGTGCTTATATGTTTGATTAATCGATCCAATTATGATTTGCCCGTTATAATTGAATTCTTTCTAGATCAACATAATCCATATTTGAGTTGAGCATTATCTATTCCAAAAATAATTTAAGCTTAACCAAATTCTACGATAGTTGTGTTTACAACCACAACTTACACTAGAGTTGTGCTAATGGTTAATTGCCTGCCCAGTTTGACATGGTCGTCCAAATGCCCAAACGTGCTAACCTATCCAGTGATGACTTGCAACCCCTTGGATCAAAACCAGGTCTTGTTGATCCCTAGTCACTGCTCTGTAGATAATATGCATCAACTCTAGCCAAACCAAAGAGACATCCCTATGACGGTCAAAGTGCGAATGAACTTGCTCTGATCGAACCAAAGAATTGGTCCATGCTCGGCCTATCCACTATTTAGTTAACCAATACTTTGCCCGGTCTGACATGCCTTTTTGGGCTGAAGTGGCCTCCATTAGTTATTCATGTGTTGGGTCTTTTTCCTCTATTAGGTCCATCCTAACTCGGTCATTTAGGCTAGGTTTGATATCCTTTAAAAAAGTCAAAAAATTACTATCCTATTTAAGTCACATCATCTTATTTAAATCACATCACCTCTCTACCACATCACTTTAAACCCAACTCATATTTCATAAAAAGTTAAAAAGTGCACTTATTTAGAACATTCTAAACAACCCCTCACTACAAGAAAAAAACACTTTTGGCGACCACCTATTTTTTTTTGTCACAAATAGTCCACTTTCTGCGACCAAAATTTAACTTTTGGCGACCACAATTTTTTGGTCGCGAAAAATCACCTTTTGGAGACCAAAAAAAAAAGTTGATAGCGAAAAGTATACCTATTGGTGACCAAAGGCTTTTTTGATCGCGGAAGATCACCTTTTGACGACAAAAAAAAAAGTTGGTCACAGAAAGTATACCCTTTGGCGACCAAAAAAAAAAAGTTGGTCGCGGAAAGTATACTATTGGCGACCAAAGGCTTTTTTGGTCGCGAAAGATTACCCTTTGGCGATCAAAAAAAAAAGTTGGTCGCGGAAAGTTATGGCGGAATAAATTTTTAAAAAAATGATATTACTGTAATTACATGTTATTTTTCTGTTTAGGCATTAAAAGTTTTATAAAATAATATATAACCCAATTTTTATGGGTTATAAATATTTTTTGCCAAATATAAACAAAAAGCATGTTATTGTCAGAGTGGATTGGGTGCATGGTGACTCCTTGGTCAGGAGTTCAAGTCCTAGGCAGCACAAAAGAATTATTTTTTTTGGGTCAAGGCGCTGACTTTTGGCGACCAACTTATCTTTGGTCGCTAAAAGTTTACTTTTGGCTAATATGAATTGGACTTTCCGCTACCAAAAAAGTTGGTCGTGAATGGTCACTTTTAGCGACTAAAGGCTTTTTTGGTCGCAGAAAACTATCTGTGACGAGGCTTTAGCGACCAACTCGCGACCAACATATTTTGGTCGCGAAAAGGTTTTAGCGACCAAATATGGTACTTTTTACGACTAAAATGTTGGTCACGAAAAGTGTTTTTTCTTG